AATTAAATCTGCAAATCGTTCGATCATCGAATTTTTATTTATTACAATCTAAAAATTACAAACGAAGTGGTACAATAATTATGGAAATCACTGTATATGACATTAATATTGAAATTAATGTTGATATTCATATGTAATAGTTTATGAAATTAATGTTAACGTTAATATGTAATAGTTGTTGACATTAATATCATTAATATGTAATAGCTTATGACATAATATTTAAATACTTTTAGAATAGTAATAGCATACATGTTAATCATAACGAAACATGAATATAATAAGGTAATTATATGGTTGTCAAAAAAGCCTACATTGATAGTAAAGTATTAGAAAACTATTATCCACTTTTCGTGAGGTTGACATAAATGGTTTATGGAAACCAGCAAAGGCAGTTCAAAATAATTTGATGTCTAGCATCCTTCACCGAATCAATTATTACCTGATATTAATAGCTTCTTTTTAGCAACACCATCAGATGTAAAGGTACCACTAGGCGAAAAGCCTTAAGAAACTATTACTTGGATTTGTTATTGTAAATTTTTTGAAAGGATCTTCATTAGTTATTCAACATCAATTCAATAAAAGATGAATCCAAGAAATGGCTGCTAGAAACTCATTGTCTAATCTTCTAGGGTAATTGTTAATTTACCTTGGTTGGATTTTAATGATCAAATAGAATATAAAATCTTCAGCTTTGATTTTTTAACATAATTCTTTTAACTGATTAGCTTTTAAAATATATTGAACTAAAATTAGAAAGAATCAAATTCTTTTTAAACTTCAACGATAAGTAACGAAATCAGATCATAAAAGATCACAGCTTAAAGAAAATAGGAAGTAAATATTTATTCGGATTCGGACCAGTCGAAAATAAAAATAAAATAAAAAAAAAATACAAAATAAAAATATATAAGAAAATAATTTAAAAAAGTAAGGAATTACAGGAATATAATAATAAGTAATAATACAAGAAAGAAAAAAAGAAACTACAATTACTTTTTTTTAACTTAAATCGATCTTTTGATTTTTGCCTTTCGGCAATTTTATCAAAAAGATCGTCGCATAAATCTTCTACGTCTGTCAAGATTATGCTATGCTCCCGTGCGGCTTTCTTCGCTCCAGATGTATATCCAGAGGGCGCCACCACGATACCTATTTTATTTGCCCAATTCTTGCATTGGATTGCAATTTCGTTACTTGCAGCCTCTCCAGAGATATCGATCCAGGCCCACTAAAAAATACTAATATAAAAAAATGAGTACTTGCACCATTATCATCGAGAATTAAGAAGAACGTTCAGAGTCGTTTGCGACTGAGACCACGAAGTGTACGTGCATCGAAATCCTTTTGGAAAAGACGTTCAACAGAAGTACTTCGGAAATAGGGAAGAACGTTCACTATCGAAACCGTGGATACGAAGAGCTTTCAATTTCCCCGATATTTACATCTAGTGGCAGCGTAGCTTCAGATGCACAACGACTCGACAAATAACCCAGTGAGATACTCACCCTGCCAATAAACCTTCTTGAGAGGAGGCCAACCATATTAGCTCGTCAACGATGTTACGACCTGGGTCTTCTAAAATGATAATATACAAAAAAAATGAGTACTTGCGTCATCACCATTAAGAATTAAGTCGATACGTTAATTCGTGCATCCTATTCACCAAAATCTGAGCGTCCGTCACACAAGACCGTCGGAAACAGGGAAGAACGTTCACGGTTAGAACCGTGGCCACGAAGAGCTTTCAATTTCCCCGATATTTACATCTAGTGGCAGCGTAGCTTAAGATGCACAACGACTCGACAAATAACCCAGTGAGATACTCACCCTGTCAATAAACCTTCTTGAGAGGAGGCCAATCATCCCTAATAGCTCGTCAACGATGTTACGACCTGGTCTTTATCGAAAAACATATACCTCCATCGTCAGGACAACTAATAATAATATACAAAAATAAATGAGTACTTGCGTCATCATCATTAAGAATTTTGTCGATTCGTGCATCCTATTCACCATAAATCTTAGGAGTCCGTCCGTCGCTCAAGAACATCGGAAACAAGGGAAGAACGTTCACGGTCAGAACCGTGGCCACGAAGAGCTTTCAATTCCCCCGATATTTTACACCTAGTGGCAGCGTAGCTTCAGATGCACAACGACTCGACAAATAACCCAGTGAGATACTCACCCTGTCAATAAACCTTCTTGAAAGGGGGCCATCATCCATATTCGCTCGTCAACGTCGTTACGACCTAGGTCTTTATCGAAAATACATCTATACCTTCATCTTCAGGACGACTAAAATTTACAAAATAAAAAATGAGTACTTTGCGTCATCATCATTAAGAATTTGTCGATTCGTGCATCCTACTCACTATAAATCTTAGGAGTCCGTCCGTCGCTCAAGAACATCGGAAACAGGGAAGAACGTTCAAGATCAGAACCGTTATCACGAAGAGATTTTTATTCCCTGATATTTTACACCTATTGGCAGCATAGCTTCCGTCTTCAACGTTAACAATATCCAAACTTGCGACAGTTTTATGCTCGAGTATTGAGAAATTATTTTTTACGACTATATACATTTTTGATAACGAACATGCTAGATTTCCAAGCAAGAATTTTGATTGGGTGATATTAATATAAGTAATTACAGTCTGGTGTTATACTAAATTTAGAATTAAAACTAGAATATTCTATAGAAAATTGTTAAATCTTCGTAAAAGATCATCTTAACAAATTTTGGTTTTTTTTATAGTATTATATATATATATGTGCTAATTTTTTATCATTTTTAGGGAAAAATCAAATAATTTTTTAAATTTTTAATGTATTAAAAGAGATTTTATATAACCAAGTGTCTTGATTTTGTATTTGATTAATAGAATTATAATTAAATAAAACAAAACTTATAATAATATGATAGATAACTGTATTATATTTATGATTAAAAAAATTTTTTTGATTTTTTTACTCATTCATAAATATTAAATCACTTAAAAATGACTAAGATTCACCAATTAAATTTTCTTGCTATTTAATAAATTTAATATATCCTCCAGAACTTATAAAATGATTATTGATATCAATAATTAATTTTGATCTTATAATAGAATATTTGATTGCTGAGATATATATTTTAAATGTTTTATTTCATAAATTATATCAACTGCCACAATATATTTAAATAATTTTTCACTTTTATGTTGATTTTTATTTTTATTAAAAGTAAGAGTTTTTATAAATTTTATAACAATTAGATTTCATTTAATAAATCATTGAAAAGGAAAAGATTATTTAACTTAAATTTTTCATGATCTTTCATTAAATTCATTATATTATCATATATATATTATTTTGTTCTTTTTTGGCAATTTCTATTATAGCTTTAATACGATCTTGTTGATTATCAATTTTGTTATTTAAATTTTTTTTTAATATTTCATTTTCAGATAATAATTATATATTAAAATATTTTAACTTTACATTTTCAGATAATAATTGTTTATTAAAATATTCTAACTCTTCAATTTTTTTTAAAAGATTTTCATATTCTGGATCTAGTAAAGATACATGAATTCCAAAATCATTTTCTTTCATTTTCTTCATTTTCTTCTTTAGAAAGTAAAATAACCTAATTATTTACTTCTAGTTGCTTAATAAAAAAATTTTCAGCAATAATTTAATTGTAATTTTTTTCGCATATAGAGTAATTTTTTAAAGAATCAAGCCATAACTTTTATTTTATCCATTGCTATATCACCTGATACATGCAACCACCTCTAATTTTCTTTAATCTCACCTTGTAGTAATTGACTGTTCAGATATTTATTAACAAGAAAATTGAACAAACAAGATAAATTTTGGCTTTTGAACTTGAACTTGTCATTGCTAATTAGTTGATCAATAATTTTATAATTACCTTTCTGATATCTTAATTAAAGTATATATAAAAAAAAATAAAAATGTAAATATTATTGATAATTTAATAGCCAATCAAAACATAAAAGTAAATAACCAAAATGATATTATAAATATGATAAAGATGAAAGTAAAATTCAAAACATAAATGTTTTCAATATAAAACTAAACTTCTTATACTTGCTAAAATCTGATAAGAAATTAATCAAATAATAGTTGAAAAAGATATAGTCAAACCTTTAATTTTAAATCTCATTAGTTCAAAATGAATACTTTTAAAAATCTTATAAATTTGATTAGTATAATCCAAAGATTTGAACCTTAAAAAGATATTAATATACCTGATATTCTTATTTTAAATCCTTTACTAATAAAACTAAATTCTATTAATAATGTTTAAAAAGTTCTAGATTATATTAAGAAATTAGTAAAGTTAATACAATCAATTCTTGTTATAACGAACTCTATATCCTAAACTTTAATTTCACTATAAGGCTATAGTGAATATTTTAAGAGATTTAATTAGCTAATTTACTATAACAAGAGTATTTTTATTATATTTATTCAAAAAAATTCATTATATCAAAATTTACTATATTAAGAGTTAACTGTAAAGGTAAAAGAAAATGAATTGCAATGATATGTGATAGAATTTCTTACTGTTATACACAAAAATTTAAAAATAATTATCCAGAAATTCTCTTAATACTGAATCTACTTTATGAGAAATTAAATATGCTAAAAGCTTTTGTAAAGTTAAATTGATAAGTATTATTAGTTCTAAACTGATTCAAATCAATCTAAACCTATAATTTCATAATATAATCTCAGAATTATTGATTTATAATATTTTGCTAATATTAAAGATATAAAACTAAAAATTAATTAGTATATTTTAAAAAGTGTATTGATCATCACAAAACATAAGATTCAGTTTGCAATATTTATTAGCATATGATAGTTATAAAATTAGTTTAGCCTTTATATTATTTTAGATTCTAATCTGACTGTTGATAAATATTTCAATAGGGCTAAAGATTTAAAAGTTAAGTTATATACTGTAAATTAAAATATAAATAAGTATAGAAAAATATCAATGATTTATAATTACAGATATTTAAAAATTTATATTAATTCTTAAATAAATTTTTTAGGTTTTTTTGTATTTACAAATCATAATGAACTTTTATATTAAAATTAAATTTAATTAAACCTTTACTTAAATTAGCTAGGTGTAGAGTATTTACTTCTATTTATTTTATAAGATGACATTTAATCAGAAATTAAAATAGTTGATGAAGAATAACTAATATATCTTTATTCTGAAATTTAATGACTTATAAAATCAAATTCAGTCGTACATAATCAGAATGACTAAACCAGTATCAAGGATTAAATATTATACTTGAGAAAGTGAATAAAATTCTGAAAATACTTATTTCACTTATACTAACTTAAAAGCATTAGAAAATAGCAGCAAAAATTGTATAGAATTTATAAAAATAATAAAAACAAATTTGATTTATTTAATTATACTACTTATTATTTTTTTGTTTTTACAAATCATTTTTATTCTTAACAGTAGTTGTAAAAGAAACTATTTATTGCAATTAGATATATAGATGCTAAAAATACTAATATATGAATACATTTAGATTATGAAATAGAATCATAATAATTTCAAATTCATTTAAGAAAAGTTAGTTTTCTGAATCTACATAAAAATAATTATTACTTTGAAAGTTTAGATAAGCATAGTAAATTGAATAAGAAAATGAAATTATTTAATATTATAACTTAAATTCAGCATATAAACTATCTTAAAAAATTAAGTTTAACAAAACTATTAGTTAGTTGTCTAATTTTTATTACTATTAATAAAGTGTAAATACAATCAACTGAAAATTTAATGAAGAAGAAGAAACTGATATTAATGATCAAATCATTAATTAGATCTTTAAATAAAGCTAATTATAGAATTAAATTGAAAAGAAAAAATGAACTATTAGTTATTTACAGCAAATTCAAGATTTGGCTAATAGTAATGAAATAATTTAAAAAAAATTAAAACAAATAAAATATATATATATAAATTTTTGTAATACATAAATTCAAAATTTATGGTTTCATATAATATTTTACTTAATTATTTAATATTAATATATTTAACGATTCTGATAGTATTATATATACTTTTAAAATAACTCTTATCACTCATTTTATTTATTTTAACTAAAAGTTTTTTGTTAAAAGTTATATTTGTATTATATGTATTATCTGTATTGCTAAATTATCATTATATAATTATATGATAATCTATAGCTAATAAAATTTTGTATTATTAAATGTTGATCAAATTTTTAAATATCTATTATTAATAATCATTTTTATATTTAGTAATGCTATATATGAAAAAACATCAGACTAAATTATTATTTAATATATCATTTAATATATAAAATATTAGTAAATGATTTTAGAAACTATTTTTAAGTTCAAGCATAAGTATAATGAAAGGGACTAACCATATATTAACTCAAAATTTGAGCAAGTAGATATGAAGATATCAAATATATAAAATATATATAATCCTTCACTAATACTCTGAACTAATAAAAATTCATTAATAATATTTAAAATTATTTTTCCTATATTGGTAAAAAAATAATTCTTTAGTATTCTTATATATATAATTATATAATTTTTAGAAATTATTATATTATATTATATCTATAATTTATCTTTATTTTATTATTACAAATTAGTTATTATTTATTATTTCCATTATTTTATTACTTAATTATTTAATAACCATTTTTTTTTTTTATATTTTTTAAATTTAACTTTTAGTTCTAAATCCTAAGTGATAAATTTATTTCATTTCTTTATTTTACTTTATTTATTCTTTCACTTAATTATTTTAATAGCCATATTTTATTAGATCTTTCAGCTTTTTAACTTTAGATTGAAAACAGTAAGTTCATTTCATTTTTATTTACTTATATTTTTATTTATTTTTTTTACTTAGTTGTTTACTATTGTTTTTATTTTTAGATTTTTTAATTTAATTCTTTAACTTTATATTCAAGGTAGTAATTATTTTATTTAGTAAGGTAAAAATGTTAATTTTATAACAAAATTTAAAAATGGTATTTAAAAAATTTTTAATCTTCATCTAACTTAATTTCTGCTATAGAATGTATAATTTAAGTTATAATATATATAGCAAAAATAAAATTTTGAGATATAATTTGAAAATAGTATTCAAGAAAGATTCAATTTACCTTTGATTTAATTTCTGCTATAGATTATAAGAATAGAAAAAATAAATGTTTAAATCAATCTATACTTTTTTTTTGTTATCTAATATTCTGATATCTAACTTGATATAAAATATTCTATGAGATACTAAAAATTATATTGTTTCTTATAACCTTTATAATCTAAATTTAATCCCTTTTAATATATCAAAAAATTTATAATATATTACTTGTAACTAAAAGTAACATCAAATAAAGATAAATAAAGTAAAACTATATTTAATAGTATAACTAATTCAAACTTAAATTGCATATTATAGGGATTGAATTCAGATCAAATATAACTAGATCACCTATAAGTAATTAAATATCTGAGTCATAATTATAGAACTTAGGTAATTATA